TATCTATTTACAATAATAAATCCTATACTTTTTGGATCTAAAAACCCTGAAACAGTCCCAATAACATGTCCGAAGAATTAGTCAGTCTGATTTTTGGTTCTCAAACAGCCCCAATACAAACATAAAACCAGAACTCTTATGTGGGCTTCGTTAAAAAGAAGCTATTTTTAATGAAAACGTTAAAGCTAAGAAGTTGTTAGCAACTGTTGATATTAGCTCGGGGTTATAGCCATTTTAGCCGACTAGCAACAAACGGAACAATGTTGACCCGCGAGCTCACAAAAGAAGCTAAAGTTCCCAAAAAACTCCGAAATTACCTGAGTTGTCCTCCATTGTTCCCAATTCCAAAAGAGGAGGTTTGATAAATGGACAAGATGCTAGCTAAATACTGAGCTTGCTGACCTGGTTTAGTAAACATGTAGGAAGAGAAGCTCTTCCCACAGATAACTTCCTGGATGCGGTCACAGCTCCCAGCTGGGCTCTTTGGAGCGATGTACTGGAAGTTAGACAGAAGTTTTTTTTACAACTTTTTTGTTTGTTTGTTTTTTTGTTTTTGTTTTGTTTTTCTAAATGGTAGCGCCTGTAAACTGAAATTAAACCCATATTAAAGCAGGGGCGGAGCTAGATGGGGGGCCGAGGGTGGCCATGGCCCCACTTAAGGGCCGGTTATACTCCTCCTGCAGCAGTGTGTCACAGTGAGCTTGACTCATATGTGTGAAGCATGTTGGTTAGCATTTTACTACATCGGTCGAATCTATAGGAGGAGTGTCTGATGTCGAGTCTGAAGTCATTAGAACGCGAGTAGGGACTTTGCCAAATACAACAAAAAATTGCCATCATAGCCAGCGGTCCTTCACACACGGCTATGCCGAGAGAGGGCCGCTGCGGTTAGACCTGGCTGCCGTGAGGTTCGGAGCTCCGCTGGTGCCGCAGTCCTCTCAAGTTTGGAACATTTTCTTTTAAATTACGCATTAAATCTGTGAATGGGCCATATGGTGATGCTTAAAAGTATAATGTTCTCGCCTCAAATTATCTTAAAACTAACTTTTATTGAACAACAGCAACAGAAAAGATAACATTTAACTTAGTACTCTGAGCTCTGTGAGTTAAGAAGATGGACCGCCAACCAATGAGCAGAAGTTGACTCTCTAGGACACACCCCTCCTCATTTGCATAATGAGACAGAAATGCATACAGAAATGTAAATATGACAGGCAGAAATGTAAAAAGTACAGACAGAAATAAACAGCGGCGAAGAAATAACTAAGGTAAAAAACAATGTAAAAACAATAACAAATGTAAAAACAATAAGGTGATAGCTTCAGTGGTATTGAGATAGGACCCCAGGTTTCATCTGCTAAATGTTTTTTTCAAAACAAATTGCTCTAATTTTCAAAGCTGAATTTATCAGTTTTTCTTGAGTTCTAATTCAGATTCTATAGAAAACGTAAATTAAGTCTAAAATTGTAAAATTATGAATGTATATTGACCTAATAAGAAATAGAATTTTATTTAAACCTAATTAAATCGAAATTTGACTTCATGCAGCTACCTTAAAATATTTGAATCCCTTGCCATGTTTTTTATTTCATGCTTTTCTGTGCCCCCATGAAAACATGCTGGTACATTTCGTCTAGAACCGCCACTGCCTGTGGTAACCCCTACCATTGTTTCCCTCTAATACAGATGGTGGCAGCAGTAATACTCTCAAGTGGAATATTCCAAACATTATTATTTTTCATATATGAACAATTACTTGACAACAAAAACACTGTGGATAATTATGCACATCAATATACCAACATTAAAGATGATAAATACAGAATTCAAGCAGAAATATATTTTGTGTTTTATGNCCGCCAAGCCAACCAATGAGCAGAAGTTGACTCTCTAGGACACACCCCCTCCTCATTTGCATAATGAGACAGAAAGGCATACAGAAATGTAAATATGACAGGCAGAAATGTAAAAAGGGCAGACAGAAATAAACAGTGGCGAAGAAATAACTAAGGTAAAAAAATACAAAGGAAGAATAAAACAGGCAAAAATATTATAATATGCACCTAAATAAATACTTAAAATATAAGTAATTAAAAAATAAAGTTAAAGATTATAAAGGACAAAGAAATAAATAAGGTAAATATTACAAATGCAAATAAATAAAGAAGCTATTTAAGAGTTATATACATTTGTGTCTCACTTTATAATTTAATTTCTACATACATTTATTTGTTTATTGTATTTTTGTTGGCAATTAATTGTATGCTTATATATTTATTGAGCATTTATTTATTTCTGTATTTATTTTTAAATATGGCAGAGTTGGTCCTCCACAGACGCAGACATTTGTGATTTATGCTCAGTATTCAAGCTCGGTCTGTGCTATACGCTGTGGGTCTAGATGCGGCCGAGGCGGTGAGGAAGTGGGGGCGAGTTTAGTTCGACAACGGAGGGACATGACGGCGAAAAATAGGGGGGATCCAAGTGGGAAAAGGGTCCCAGCGTTCTCGCGCACCTCGATCTACTAGCTGGTCAAATTCCACGAGTTGTTTTCCGCAATTTTGGTCATAAAAACAAAACAAGCCGACCTCCTGTCTGCGGCACTGTCTGCGGTCAGTTACAATTTGGGAGAGTTGCAGTGGAGTGTCTGCGGAGGGGCGGGGACGTCTTTTTGTTCACTGTGACACCTACACAGAGGACCTGGTTTCGAAGTATAAATCAGCCTTTAGCCGATCATTGGCCACCCCTGTGGCCATAGGCGGTTCTTGATAGGGGCCAACGTTCTCCAGTGTCCCTGTATCTCATGTCCTGGCCCCTGTTATGACCCCTGTACTGAAGGCATACTATTCAAAGAAATTCTAATGATGGTATATGCTGGATCAGACTTGGTTACTGATAGGTCCTTTGGGTCTATTTCATTTTTTTTCTTTAAAAATTCTGTTTTACTAATTATGTAAAAACAAAAAGGTGATAGCTTCAGTGGTATTGAGATAGGACCCCAGTTTTCATCTGCTAAATGTTTTTTTCAAAACAAATTGCTCTAATTTTCACAGCTGAATTTATCAGTTTTTCTTGAGTTCTAATTCAGATTCTATGTAAATTAAGTCAAAAATATGTAAAATTCCTAAATTATGAATGTATATTGACCTAATAAGAAATAGAATTTTAATTAAACCTAATTAAATTGATATTTGACTTTATGCAGCTACCTTAATATATTTGAATCCCTTGCCATGTTTTTTATTTCATGCTTTTCTGTGCCCCCATGAAAACACGCTGGTACATTTCGTCTAGAACCGCCACTGCCTGTGGCCACCCCTACCATTGTTTCCCTCTAATACAGATGGTGGCAGCAGTAATACTCTCAAGTGGAATATTCCAAACATTATAATTTTTCATATATTAACAATCACTTGTCAACAAAAACACTGTGGATAATTATGCACATCAATATACCAACATTAAAGATGATAAATACAGAATTCAAGCAGAAATATATTTTGTGTTTTATGGGGTAAAGAGAAAATGATATGTCTCTGCAAGTCATTTAGGAGTCTTCAGTGAAATCATAGATAAGTAACTACTTTAAGAAAAAACTTATACTAAATAATCAATTTAAGTACATATTAGTACTTGTGAATATCAATTTTATGCAGAAAGATTACTGATAAAAGTAAATAAGTAATGACAATGGAAAAGATGTGTGCGCAATTTTTTTCACTATAACTTTTATCTAGAAAGCACAGGTGTTTTAATATATTCGTCTATTGCTAGAAAAGGCTGTGGGAAAGAATAGTTTGTCTTTATCTAGAAAATATGGATGTTTTGCTTGTTAATATTCGTGTTGAAACAGTGTAGATTGATCCTGAGATTTTGGTGCCTATCTACTTTCGGCCACCCCTCTGTCTACATTGGTTATTGCCTGGCCACCCTTATGAAAATGTTCTGGCTACGCCTCTGCATTAAAGCCGTTAAAGAACATCTAGGCGTTGTTACTAAATTTAGTTTTTTTTCATTGGCAAGTTTGGTCCTTCATGTAGACCACAATGTTTTCATGATTGTATAATCAAGCAGCAACAAAAACGGGACATTAAACACGCCACATGACTGAGTTTTTTTAAAGAAAGTTTTTTTTTGTCAATCAACTAATTTAGCAGTTAAAAGAAATAAAAAAAATGTGTAAGCTAAAAAGAAAACACAATAAATTACCTCATTTATAGACTTCTACTAATTCTTGTACTTCTATCATCACATTCATTTTTACTTAGCTTAGGTATTACACATCAGTGGACTTTAGGTAGTCTACAAGTAAGTAACTACTTTATAACATAAAACATTTTTATTCTAGGTTATATACTTTTTAATCCTTGTTATCTTTTAATTCGAACACAGTTGGATGAGTTTTTTGACATTGTGCCACGTTGGGGGCAAACTAAAAGCTTATAAACTAAATTCCTTGTGTTTATGACATTTTTTTAAACCGGGGTTGTCAAAAGTTCAACGGTCAGCGCAAAATAGGTAACAGATTGTAACATATAAATGAGGGCAGATTTGTATTTTTATCTAATTAAGAAAGGTTGCTTCAATCAAAAAATATATTTTCAACTTGATTGCTGCAATACATATTTTTACACTGTTTTTGGAATATAAATATTCTTTTTTAAATGAACATTATTTCTAAATAAAATAAATATATTTCAAAATTATTATTAGTTCTACATTATTTTCCAATCGTTTAAGCTGGATGTATCACTTTCAGTGTTATTTCTTAGCTGAATGAAAAAAAAACAGTGCTAGGACTATAAATCATTTCAAGCTTAACTATGATTATGAAATAATGACTCATTAGTGAACCAGGTAGAAACAGCTTGAATGCCATTTTACTTTTATTTATTTATTTATTTGCAAAATTGTGTTGATGCCCCATTCAAATGATTTTCTGGACTTCTTCATTATGTTCTGTTCAACCCTACTCATCACAAGGACCATTAGATATTTTGGTATTAGGGCTCTATAAGGATTTAGGGTAGCTTTTTTTTTTTTTTTTTTTTTTCTTCTGTTGTAGATTTCAGTCACCAAGCAACAAGTATAAATCCCTTATCAAACAACTTTCAGCATGCTCCAAATAAGGAAACTAATTAAATGTTCGCAAACATGGTTTAATTATCTTACACATGAGGAAGTGTCACAGACTCATGTGCAGCACTCAGTGGACTTTCCCTTAACAGGTCAGTCAACACTTCCTGATAGACAGAGAGTATGTTATCTCTCTAACTCAGTGTCCTCCAGCTCAGCTCACAGATGTTCATCACATTCATCCTGCATGGACTGCAAGTGTACCAACTTCCTGTCAGAGACATTTTTCATACTGACTCCACTGGATCACTAAAGGTAAGAAGAGTTTTTCTTTTAAACATTATTTTCCCTTTTATGCTGTTAAACATAACATAATTTCTACAGTGCTACTCACCCAGT